TGAAATCAAGCGTAGGAGCAGTGCTATTGTGAACTGCCCGAAGCCACGTTTAGGTAATCCAACTCGTTTTGGAGTCACGGATCATGTTTTGGCACAATTTGTGGACCATCCTACGTTCTGTTGTTGCATGACCCTTTCGTCGGTGTGGCATGTGGTAATACTTGATTCACCAGTCTATGGGAGAAACGAATCTTGTTCCGCATGAAAATAACTTTGCATTTTGAAACGTTGAATTCAATGCCATTGTCTGTTGACCATCGGTGGGCTTCACTGATCCTCTCTTGGAGTTCAAAATGACCTTATGGATGCGTTACTGCTCTCCAGAGTTGAGCGTCGTCCGTTAATAGTAGTGTATACAGCCCAAGGACTTGTGATACGTGGTTCCAAAATGCAACAAAATGAAGGGTACTCAGTACGGATCCTGGCGGAACCTCTCAAACTGTGGCAATAGATCTAGACAATGAATCAAAAACATGAGCTGACGTGATTTTTCGTCGAAGAAATTCGTTGATTCTGTCGAGAACCAAACTTTTTACTCTAATGTAGAGCTTTTGGAGTTGAATTCGGTAGTTTACTCGATCACATGCTTTGGAGAAGTCCAAATGAAATACGGCCAATTGCTTGTCTGCATCGAAAGATTTTGCCCACTCATCCCTTTCAAGAAATATATTTGTGCAGTACGAACCATTGTACCGAAATCCGTGCTGAGCTGTAACCATGATATCATGCTTTTCCAAGCCCTCCATTAAACAGATCTGCCAGAATATCCTACATGACGTCGAATCTGTACCAAAATAGCCAATTCCATCGCAAATAGAATCAGCATTATGACTCAAGTTGGAAATAAATTACCGCAGGCATGGCACGTATGACTAAAAGAGATCAGGCTTGAGATATTTTGGTTTTGAGGGAAAAGCATGCAAAATTTCACATGGCAGGACTGGTACAACCGCCACCTAACGGCACCAATCTCAATCTGATTGGAACTCTGTATTCCGAGCGAAAATGATAAAGTGAAGGACTGTTTTTCGTTCTGCTTTTGTATACTGAAGTCAGAGAATTTTTGAGAAGTTGCAGGCCGAAATCCGGAGCCTGGTGTCGAAAAAGCTGGATTAGTTAGAGACCAGGGGTATAACCAGAGAGGACAGTGCATTATTACCATATATGTACAGTGTTTGACGTACACTATATGAGGCATGTTTGTGGGTGTATTCAAGTATGTTCAAGAGAACACAATGTAGCGAATAAGACTTGGTTTCATTGATCCATCTTCTTGAGCTAATACACGGCAATTTATATAACTGGAATGAGATACGGAAGGGCGAAGATAGTGCTTTTAAAAATAAAGCAAATTTGGGTTCAGTATCTCGCCTACAGGGCGCAAATATCTGATCCCTTGATACACTTCTGAACGGATTAGAATTCCTGTGCCAGGTCTTCCAAAACAATGGATACGGGGATCGATTTGTGGACAGCTAGACAAACGAAGAGAAAACTGTTAGAATAGGAAAGATACCAGTTTGCATAAGACTACCATTTACTGGTGACACTATGACGGGACTAGTTACTCGAACGTTGACAACTATGATCATTCAAACATTCCATGCAATGACATTGCATGTCACATGCGCATCCAGACCTAACCCTCAGGTTGCAGCTCAAAGTTAAAGTTTTTGCGATCTCATTCTCTGTTTACTCTTCCAATTGTTTCCGTGGAATAATGTACATTGGTCGCACGAGCATATGCTTCAATCATCAAGTGTTTAGGGCAGTGGGAACTCCTTTATTAGCCCCATCACATTGTGCACCACTGTGATGATTATATGTTGACATCAGAACAGTACTCCGGCGTGGCTCTGTCGAGTTTCTGTTTTAAGATGCTACCATTTGGCTCTTCACCGCGCCCTCCGGAAGGGCATTCCAGAGATTTGTCACCCTCCTCGACAAACGATAGATCAGCGGCAGACTGTTTGGCTGCATCTTGCAGAGTGTCAGTGTCTGATGCGGTTGGTGTTCTTCAAGAGGGATTCCATCTGCAATTCTGGGCCAAAGTCGCCCCGGATGNGGATGATGCGTCTGGTGTAGATCAGGTCGCCTCTTAGACGTCCGTATGACATTGGGAACAATCTCGTTGCACTCAGTCGGCCCTCGTAGCTGATCCCATGTAGTCCTTCGACGAAGCAGCCCTTTGAACTCTCTCCAGTTGGGCAACCTCATAAGCCGTACAAGGAAAGATCGTCGGACCGCCATATTCCAATCGAGGGCATACGTTGGAGGTGAACAGCACTTAAATACTTCGCGAGCATCTGGATTGACAAAGACAATAACGAGCGCAATCTGTTCACACCTTGTTGAGTCATGTCATTTAGTTGACTTGGCCAGAGCAAAAACAATGTATGAAAATATTCTGTCTTGAACGACCCTCCACCCAGCCCATTTTCATCCACCCCTCCCAATATTCAACAAATGCGGAGTAAATAAAACACCAAAAACAGTAAACATCAGGTTTATTTGTTCAAGTTTATAAATTTGTGATAGTCAATTTGTGTAAGTAATATCTCTATACCTTATAATATTCTATCTAAGCTTTTTAAATTGCGATGTATTAGCCCAAGAAGATGAATCACTCCATTGTAATTTATACACTCAGTTAGTCATGTGACAGATTTTCTAATATATGCTCGATAATCTGCATTGTCCGATTAGATCCATGTGCTCACCCACCCTCACCCGTAACTCGAGCACCCAACCCCCCTCCTCCCCGCCAGTTGCTTTTCTTTGTTGTACTGAATTCATCACCTCACTCAATCATTTCCGGTCTTACCATCTTGGTTCAAAAGCAAAGTAGATTTAATGTTATCTTCACACTATCACGTTCGCCTCAACTTACTTACTGTCCACGGAAATGAAACAATACGTGCGCTAACAATCTCTTGTCCGCTTTGTGTGTTCCATCCTCAGGGCTGTCTGGTCAAACTGAATGAGATCCTGGAGAGATACATGAGAATTCTGTGTGGAATCACTTTTGCCGCTCTCATCCCCGAAGCGATGGCCATTTTCACCGCCTTTTGCTATCGAAGATGCTCGTCGAAGAACGAGGAGGAAGATGAAGATGAAGAGGAGCACAACTGAGAGCGCCCACAACAGACGCGGGTGCGTTTGCCCGATTCCGATGGGAACACAAAAGTGGACTTTCCGAGAACAACAACAGCATGCCGATGTGCAATGTGGTCTGTTAGGAATGGCACCAAACATCTCTTGATTGTAAATAATAGAGAATGAATAAAAACATGTACAGTCATGTTCAATGTTCAATGTTCAATGTTCAATGTTCTTCAATTAGAGGCAGAGGGTAATTTC